TTGATTGCTACATTATGTGGCGCTATTTGTGCATTGGCTGCCTAACCAAGCATTACGTGCATGTTTCGTACAAGGTAGTCTAAATTGGTGATGATTTTAGTGAACACGAAGAGAAGCGTTGCGGATGCAAGCACGAACCGGACCAATTTCACGACGAAGCAATTGACTGAGTTGGAGAAGGAGTTCCACACTAACCGCTACCTCAGCCGTGCCCGGCGCTTGGAGATCGCCAGCCAGTTGGGCCTGAAAGAATCGCAGGTGAAGATCTGGTTTCAAAACCGCCGGATGAAGCAGAAGAAACACCTAAAGGAACAAGCTCAGCCTTACAGTACCACCGCTACCTCCGGGTTCTGCGTCAGCCTACCGGTTGAGGACGGTTCGTCGCCTGTCCTCCAGATACCGTCTTCCGGTAACGGCGGCAATGACACGGCGAAGATTTGTCAAAGCGATACTTTCAATTTCATTAAGCTGTAGAGGCCCATTCATCACGCCCTTCAACGAGCGCCATCTGTTCGGCAGCTTTAGGGCGGGTGTGCCTCTGGTCATTACAATATGGTCTGCAGAAGAAGAACGGAACGGAACGGAACGGAACGAAACGAAATTGAAGCAACAATCTGACGAATCCAGGTCCAGTTGCAATGTGAGTCAATGCAGCTCCGACCTCCCCTAGAGAGGTCCGCCTTTCGCTTTACGACGTCGACCGCTTCGGAGATCACTGCTGTCGTTGGTGGCGTGGCGGATGCCACCTATCCGACTTTGTCAATTCATTCCCGATCTCATCGCGTCGCCTAACGCCGACAGTGAACACGTCTCTCATCGATTTGCTGTTATAAACTTGTTTCTTTACTTGTTATACTAATAAATTGACGGTAGTATTTGGTATGATCAAGATTTAAGTATGAATAAGGTTTACAAGGCGTATTAATTCATGATGAGGAGACGGTGCCAGGCGACTTAGTTACAACCGGCAAAGAGCAGCGCACAGAACGAAAGCAAAGCGTGATCGCTGATGGCTCCCTGATCAAAGACCGCGGTCTTACTGTGGACGGCTGTCAGACGCGTGATCTATGACGTCAGGGCGTGGGCAGAGAGGCAGCGCGGCCGTGAAGAAACTAGTTGTTATGAAATGAGGGTCCAGCTGCGCTGGCGGCTTCCTTGATAACCGTGACAGCATGATCCGCCGAGCATCTGTTTTCGCAGCGCCGTTAGGCGCTTCGGCGGCTACGATGCCGATAGGCGATGGCTGCCGCGTTCCGATCTTCACTTCGATTATCCATCACTGTCAGATGATGAAACTTTTTCCGCCACCGTTGCACTCTGCTGTGAAACCAGCACCGGCCATCGACCGACTGACTGCTGCCGTCTTGTCAAGTCAGAGCCCAAGCCGACCGGCACCTGTCTGCGGGCCGGCCGGTCGGCCCTCGTTCCCTTCTCTCAGCCAGTCGTCCGGTCCTTAGGGCTCATCGGTCGACCGGTGACAAATGACCACCCACCACCGATGGATCATCGCACAGGGCTGCCGCTGACGACGACGACCGACCGACCATGGCGGAATTCGTCAGTTCGTCCTTTCATTCGTTCACTGGAGCGGCCTCGATTTTTTGCTCCATCGACGGTTGCAATTCGCCTGCGATGACATATGGGCGAAACTTCCTGGCATCATCCCTCAACTGACAACATGGACTACAGCAAAAATACGTCGAAGCGTTGGATCTTCAGTCGCGTCACCTCACTCACCTCGCGTAACCCAGAAACTGCAAATTTATTCTTGTACTAATCGTCCCGTCCGCACACACCCTCACCCCTCATTGTAGACTCGTTATTTATGTGCGGAACGCGGCAGCCGTCGAGGACAGCACTTCTGTGCCGAACCGTCAAGCCTTTGCATACATCTCACGTACAATTGCATAGCAGTGTTTGTAAACGATTGACGTTTCCTCGAGAGGAACGTCTTGCATGCAATATTGAGGTCAATTAAATGATTTTCTGGTTCGCAAATTTATAATCATTTGATTATCTCGTCTTTCATCATCTCTACTTGCACTGCATGCGGTATAGTACCATTGAATTGTGTCACTTTTAGACGGTCCCTTAGTACTCTAAATGCAAGGGGCTGAACTGCAAGCGGGCCTTGTGAATCTGAAGCAGTAACAAGTGCGTGTTATTCCGGTAGGCTGTATTAAAGAGAAACTGTTTCTATTAAACCCAAGGGTGTCTCTGACTACGGTTCCAAGATTATATGTTCAAATCCGTTTTTGCTTAAACAAGCACAGCAACGCCATGAAACCGCGTCTGCTGATCGGGTACCATAAAGTGCTAAAAACGTGAACCGCGAAAGAGTCCAGGAAAGCGACTCCTTTATTTTTTGACTTATTTCGTTAAGTTCTTCTTTCTGATCAAAACTAACTTTTACTATATAATTGAAAAAAACGCATCTATGAGCATATCTGTTTCCCCTATAATTCCACGATAACATTTTTCTCACGGAGCTTCTGGTGAGACGTTGATTTCCATAACGGTGTCATCAACCATGAATGCCATATCTTCAGAAAGCAGTGTCTACAAACTGCGGTCTCGCGCTTCCTTTCTACATTGTAATGTTTATTTACCTAACCCGCAAGAAGGAGGGAACAGTTGCTCGAGCAATTAAATCTCGTGACCATTCGACTGGTAGTTTGTGTCTCCTCTGACACCTTTTTGCTGAACCAATCGTAAGTGGATTTCATATACAGGTGCAAAAAGATCCAGGATATTCTCTTCATTTTTTTAGTTTACACCTGCTGTTGATTATCGTACTCGCAGTGAATATCAATCGATAATATTGAGAAAAGCGCATGGTAGCCCTAAGAGGCATACCAAATAACATTACCGTACGCTTCGCCCGTTCTGGTTAGATCACACCAGGTTCCAGACTGACTTCATTGTCAGCAAACAACTAGTTGCTGCACATTTCTCAACTGACTACGTCAAAGCAACTCCTGTGAATTCCTTTCTCGAGAAAAATACTGGTTAAGAGAACTTTCTTATATGATTCGAACCCCTGTACCTCTGGATTTCGAAACCAACCTCTCATCGCTAAGGCATATCTCCTCCTAGCGTATTATGACAAACTATTGATATTCCGGTCAAAAAGGTCTGTTGACTGTCTCCAAACCTCGTACCATTCGTTTGTCCATAATTACGAGTTCATTGAACTCTACACAAGTAAGTGTCTTGAGCGATCAGTAGTGAGAATAGACCAAAGAGCATTGGAGGTTTCCGTTATCTAATTCCTCTAAATTCTCTCAATTTACACTGTTTAAAAATTTTCGTCAGGTTTCCTATTTTCAAGTTGACGCTACTTTGGAAGCCTGTGTTGTTTTATCTCATTCTATGACCCCCTAACGACACTGACTGAACAAGGAAATGAAATCTTGAGCCAGAATAAAGGAATAGTGTATCTGCAAAAATCAATGACCTTTAATCATACCTTTATAATGCCTATGTAGTAATAAATGAAGGGAAAAGCTGCTTCGCAGACCAAATAGTAGATTTTTCCAGGTTTCGAAAGAATGAGCGTTAATGATGCACTTGTAAGGCTTTTCCAATCCCATTTTGCTCTTAGGAGCAGATCGTATGTTTTCTTCGGGTTAAAGTTGATAAACTTTTTAAGCACTTTTACGCTGATAATATTAAATGAAGTGGAGTTTTTAATCATGCAAGAATACGTTGTTTTATGTAGTTTTGTGCATGTACAATTTTGTTATCAGTCATCTGCTTGACACACTGGAAATAGCCTAGGGTTGTATGTCTCTGAGACTGATATTATTTACTCACGAGGAATCCGGTTACCGGCTCTTGGTCTGACGCGTTCCTGTCGCAAGTAATTTTCGTTTGAACGGCGCACTCTTTCTTTTATGGCTTGTCACTCGAAGCGTTGTACCGATGACATGATTCATATATGCACTCATATTTTCCATGTCAGCAATTCCACTGAATTTGCTAAGGCGGCTGCTTCAAGGGACTTTTCCAATGACTGCCGCTTCCTGTCTAATTTAGTAAGTAATCTTATATAGCATATCTACAGATGGGTTGAGGACTTTGCAACAGTTCCGCTTTACTGAACTGAACTTTGAACACTGTTAAATGAAGGAATCAGCAAACCGTACTTTAGTGCATAAAGGACAAGCACAGTTCCTGAAAATCAAGTCGATGGATTTAATAGGAATCGCTTAGTTAAGCATGTCAGCAGCTTACGTTCTACCGTGTCGCTACAGGAAGAACAGCCCGTCTCAAACGGCGGAACATCCATGAGAAGAAGACCGAATCAATAAACTGTCAGAGCCAATTGCGGACACGCAGCACAGACTCAGGCCGTCGCCTACCAAAAGGTGGAGAAGACCTTGTCGTTTCCAGTCAAAGGCACGGCTACCTCAATTGGAAG